GGGATCTCATCGCCCCCACGTGGCGGGTTGTTAGGGAATTCTGGGTAGGAAAAGACAGATGGAAGGGAGTGTGTCAGTGCTCTGGTGGGAGGAGGTGCGTTTGTGCAGGTGCAGTTTTTTTTTTTAGGAAAGATGAAGTAAGGGAGACAAGGACGGAAAAGCAAAGGGGAAAGGAAGGACCCCCGGCCCCACGACAAACCCCCCCAACCCCAAAGGAGCCCTTACCAGCACTGTGGCAAGGCTCGATCATTAACAGTCACATGCAGTTTCAGACATGAAATGAACAGCCAGTCCACCACACACCTTCAAAGGGTGAAACGACTCAAGAGATTAAAGTGAATGAAGCTTTGTCAGCATGCATTAACCATCATTTCTTCTTTGTTTAGAAGACGGAGGAAAATGAAACAATTCAATGAACAAACTGTGGAAGAATGAATTAATATGGCCTTTCAGTTAATACATTGATCTCTGTATGTTTCACACAAGTCAAAGAAAACACATTGAATGATATACTGTAGTACAGTCCAGCATAAAATAGCACACCATGACATATAACTACCTTCATCATCAGCGTAGGTAATGAAATGAAAGAGCACTGCCAGAAATGATTATCAGCAGCCAAGCATACACAGCCACGATGCATCAAGAGAGCTGATAAACATGAAGCTCTTCTATTCAGGCAGCAGAGCAGGCAGCAAAAAATAGAATGAGCTTCCAGAGAAAATATATAGTATTCAGTGAAGATAGTGGAAAATAGAGAGACAATTATCAAATAATCAAACAATAACTAAGATACCAGGGACTGCCTTGGAAATACAAAACAGATATGCTGTTTTCACCTGACTATACCATATCTGGAGCTAGACTGAGCCATCACATTCATTCCACCATTTTAGAGAGCATGCAGCCTACTCACAGGAAGATAAAAAATGCTCACGACTAACACAGTTGTTGCTTACAGTAAAACTAAGCATTGAAAACCTCGTCCCTTACATAAACATCTTCACTTAAAACCAAAAAACGTACAGAGCGCCTTCGAGCGCAGAGACAGAAGATACTTTTATCTGAAATGTGATCAAAGCCTCGAGGCGCAGAGGTAGTGGTTGTCTAAACCTGCAGAGCAGAGGCACATTTAACTTCAATGGTAAACGCTGAATCCTCAACAGAAAGGTGGAGGGGAAAAACAACAAAGAGTGTCACCATCTACTAAACAAATGGTGTGGGAGAGGACTGAAAAAAAGAGAGAAACGGAGAGGAGGAACGGAGGGAGCTTGCTGTTCACGCAGGGCAAACCACATACTTGTATGTACAGTAGAGACAAGGCAAGACAGGTCTAACAGATAATATGTACTGCTTTTGATACTATCTGCCTACTGTTGTACTGATTTATTATCATCCTATTGTGACACATCATCATATTGACATTAGCACTGTTATTAAGGTGTCTTCTCAAAGGAAATATCTGGATCCGTAGCACAAGTACTAAATTTACATAAAAAGACGTCATCATGTCGCACCTTGAATGGTTTTAATTATAGTTTCTATGGGCACACATTATAAATGAAGATGTGTCAGCAGGGCTGTTAAGACACCTGGCAGACATTATGGCTGCATCAGTATTGTCCTAAACAGGAAACTATTATATTTAATACACACAATTATGCTTAATATTGATGGGGAATTGTCTTTCTGAAATTGGAAACTCGTTTACAAAGTAATTGATTATAATTGAGCCAAAATGAAGGTTTATGTTAAGCAATCCTAAAAGTTCCTTAGAGATATTAAATTCTCTGTGCTGCCTTGCAGAAAGTCCAATAGAGTCAAATCGCTGCACAAACCAGCAAATCTCACAACCTCTGCCATCCTCATCATGCAAAACAAGACAAATTTTACACATAAACTGAAAATGATTATTGGCCTAAACTGCTGAATTAAAACCATTACACTCAATTAGAACTGCATTTTAGTAGTAATGATAAATCTCTGCAGAACTGGGGTAGAAAAGGATGGTATTGGGCGAGGTTAAGAAGCAGCTGAAGCTTTCCTCTTTTTTAATTACAATGGCAACCTATCAGCCTAAAGGAGAGACCTCCCAAACACAGTCACTCTCCTCAGCTGCTCTTCCACTACACCCTTTCTCCCAGGGCTGACTGCAAAGCTCTCCAATTTCTAAAGCGGTGCCGGGCACAGTCTCAAATATCAGCTCAGGTTTTAATCTGACCACCTAATGGGATTATTCAGACACAGGCCTTCATTACACACATGAATGAGAGAGCAGAGCCAGGTCACCTCTGCTCAAAAACACATCCTCCCACCAAGTCCAAAGAGGGTTGAAAATTCAGAGGATTGAGGGAGTAGAGAGAAAAGGGAAAACGTTCTCCTGTAATCCTCTCTTCTATCATTCGCTGCCTTCCTCTGCTAGGATCCGTCTTCGCTCTCATCAGCCCCCTTGTTCAATCTTAATTAGGCAGCTTTTTGCCTTGCATTTCTGGGGTTGCCAAGACTCGATATTTACTACTTAGAGAGGTGAAAGACAATGCAGGACTATTAAAACTACAGAATAGTGGCTGTAAAAGATGATGCAGAGAGCTTTCAAAGGTGCTCTCCATCACCTCAATTTTTATAAAGGATCAAGTGACACCACCTCTTAACACCCATATTTGAAGAATGTCAACACTAAAGCTTGAAGAATGTGTTATTGTCCCTACAAACTATAGACATGAAAGCAGTTGTAAACCTTCAGGTATTTTTGTGGCTTTTTGGCCGGCACATCCATCTCCGAGGGAGCCTTGGAAGTTACCTTACCAAAACAAGAGATGGTTTCTAAAAGAGTTATTAAGATGCTTTACTAGAGGGGAAATGAAAAGGAGGAGTATTCAAGTGTTCAGATGACTCTACCCCTGTAATGGGGGTACTCTCAAAGCAGAGAAAGAAGATCTGACACACCAGCAAAGGCTCATCAGATCACTTCACTGCAGTGGAGGAACTTTTATTTTGCAACTTAATGAGGTGTGCTGGCGAAAGGGGACTGCCCGTTCTCACCGCTTTATCCCTCACACTTCTGCTCTGTACTTGTCCCTCTGCAAGGTCACATCACAACACCACCTTCATACAGCCCACTGGCCTTGTGCACACACGAAGATAACAAAATGGCAAAAGATTTCTCAATTTCTCCAGCGCGGAGGCTTTGTCTAGCCCATGTACTCTGTGAATGTGACTATGTGATATTAGAGTGGCTATGGTGCAAACTAATCACATTACAGAAACACTAATAATAAAACACATTTGAAATGGTCGGGGTACGTAGGGGTGTTTGACAGCATGGAGGAGGGAGGAGGCGTTCCACCAGCACGCCATCGCTACCGGCAACACCTGCCAACACATAGATAAAAAAGACCTCAAAGCAGCACAACAACAGCCCTGATACTGTTCCAGGCAACAAAAGGCAGTGTCTATTAACACCACTCTGGAAATATGCAGATAGTGGGGTAACCTTGAGTTGCAGAGACTAAAATGTACTATTGAGATTAATAGGTGCCAAGATGAGCCATGAAAGGCTATAATTCAATCCAGAGGCATGATAGATTTACACAGGTAAAGAATAACATGAAATACTGCAGCTATTTAAATGCATCCATGCCGTTTTGTATTGCATTAATCATACAGTTTTGAACACTCACATCTGACTTGATCGAATGGATGATTTACTACCTCCCAACATTTTACTGACAAAATCTGTTTCCTTCACAACTCCATGAGTGTTCTCTCTCTGAGTCATTTGTGTAAGACTGAAGTGAGTCTTTAAGAGAAACAAATGGTAAACAAATGCGGCACACTCGCAAAGAAAAAAGAAAAAAAGCCTGACATCTTGTGGAAATGACACATGCCAGATTTGTGGTTTCATAAAACAACATACATTTGGAACAGGGTTTTGTATTTCAGTGTAAGCTACAGTGCAAAACTACCAGCTGGAGCAAATGTTCAAAGATATCGAAGGAGAGGAGTGTCTGAGGCAGAAGAGGCTTTTAAGTGAGAGAAACTGTATCACAACTATGTCCTGCAGGTACTGTTTCTGGGTGTGCTCAAGTCATGTCTGCACATGAAAAAAGAAGGAGAGAGACAGGTACAAACATTCCTGAGTCTTAGCGCAATCACTTGGACAAGGTGTTATGAAAGAGGCTGGGAAAATGAGAGAGGATTTCAAAGAGTGGTACAGGGAGTGGTGTTCTAATATGACTAAATGAGGAACAAGCAGCACACAACAGAAGATGAAAAGAAAATAGAGGGCTACTCTTAGAGTTTGAGGAGTGGCAACAAGGGAAAAAAAGAAAGAAAGAAGACGGAGTGAGAGGAGTGCCTGTGAGAGGTTGGGGAGTGACAACGCCAAATAAAGAATGGCATAATGAGTGAGTGAGAATGGGGACGATCGAGGAAGACGCATTAATTCAGCGATTCCAATGATCGTCATTACTCCCCTGTCTGAATTTGCTAGTGGTTGTGAAGTCATGGAAATGTAATGCTGCCACAACGAATACAAGCTCATCACTGACAGGAATTTAACATGCTGCATGCCCGGGGAGTCGACGCTGAGGCAAAGCTCTTTTTTACCCTATCTCACGCTCCCTTCCAATATCTACAATTTCTTTTCTGTTTGTCAACATTTTTTTTGTGCTATCACTGATTTTACAGAGGCATAAGCTCGTCTCATGTGTAGGTAAACCCCACTTGTGCCATTAAAGCCTTCAAACTAGTAATTCAAATTCAACTCCCTGTAAAAAAAACACTGGTGACATGTGTGGCATGTTGTGAACATGCAGCGGCTTGCAGGACAGTCCTGTCAGAGAAACCGAGACTGCTTCTTGTTTTCATCTCTCTAGAGCGAAAACAGCGCGTAATCTCACACTTTTTTTCCTCTACTGGTGATAAAGGATTCACAACACTGACAGTCTCTGAATCACATTTATGCTGGTTTGTAGTTGAAATAAACAATAAAGTCATATCAAGAATGAACATGGGTAAGATGACAAATTATAACAGAGA